GATACTAATTTGGTTTTGGGCCCATCATTCACAAATGATTCATCCTATCAAATGATTTATGTAATCTGAGGCAGCGGAAGAATTCAAATAGTTGGCCTTAATGGACAAATTGCTTTGGATAGCAAAATGGAAGCACATCAGTTATTTGTTGTGACACGATGAAGAAATAGATGGAAACTAGGTCAAAAATGGAAATTTACAGTTGGATTTGCTTGGATTTTGCTCATAACTTCGCCTCTGGAGATTTGGGGCTACGAATTGGAGAGGAAACGTTTCTGAGGAGGAAGGGGGGATTACGTGGTTTGGGGTTGTTGTAATTAATCAGGTTGAACTTTGGTTGTAGTTAATTTGGTGGTTTAGGACGTATTTAATACTTCTTTAAAATATTTAATTAGTTTATGGGTATTAATCAAATCACTTAAAAAAAAAAGGTCTAGAGCCTAATTTTCCCTTCAATTAATTATGGGAAAGAAAAAACAAGTAGCTTTTGTTCTCAATTTGAATAATTTGTCAATCTAATTACAAAAATTAATTATAAGTAAAAAAAATTATCGCTTATGAGTTAAATATAAAAAAATACATATAAGTAAAAATTCAAACAATAAATTATAAATTGAAAAATTCAATAAGTAATATACACGTTTACTCCATGTTGTTTACTCCATGTTGTTTTCGCGTATCTACCTTGTTTTTATATATGAGCACATATGTAATTTAATTCTTTTATTAAAAAATGTTACCACTGTATAAAAACTCTCAAGAATTTGTTGAACTATTTTAAAAATTGTTGTTAAAAATCACAAAAATTTGGATTCCTTATAAATATTCAAAATCAATACTTTAAATAATCATAACCGGTACGTAAAACTCTCAAGTCGGCCTTAATAATTCGATTCATCCACATCTCGTGCTTCAAACACTCAAATTGCATTAAGTGAATTATTTACCTACTGTAATAGTGACTATAGATTATTATAGAATTTTCAGTTCTGAACTAAACGTGGTTGTAACTTGCAGTATCACTATACATTTGATATTGACCATATCATTCAGATCTACTTTAAGTACAAAAATACAGGATAAAATACTGCTGAATTGAAAAAAATGGGTGTTGTCATATCATTTTATATCGGCTTAGTTCATGAGTTGGAGATAAACATACTCGAATCGCTAACATCCGTCGCAAGGTAAACCATCGCCTCTTAGGCTCCTCGACTGATTCTATCATAGAGGCCGACGGTAGATAATAACTCCCCTCCGAACACATTTTGCATCTTTCATAGTATTTTGCTCTCCAAACAACAACTCTTCTCAAAATCACACTCAAAAGGTGTTGAGTTGGAATCCCATTTTAACTAAGGATTCTTGTGATTTCGGAGGTTTCAGTTACAAAAGAACCAGGAACAAGTGAAGTGCGTAATATAGCATTCTTGACTCGGACTAACGCAATCAAAGGTACTTTGTTAACCACATTCAATGTACTCAATAATTATCTTTTCAAAATCAATACCTTCAACACTAGCCTTTGTGAATTATGTGCACATATTTATGGTCTCTCTATAAATTAGGAAAGTTTAGACGATAAAAGAAATGAGCATTTTTTAAGATATAAAATAGTTCAAAGATAACGTGTTGATAGAAGTATGGTTGAAAATGAATGATTTTAAATGAAATTAGAAGTAGAAAGAGGAAATAGGGGAAAGTTGACGAAATAGGAATATTATGCATAAACTTATAGCTTGTTTGAGAGAGATTTTTGGGGGAAGAATTGATTTTGAATAGTGGTATGA